TTGAATGGATTGAAGTTCCCTAGGGTATTCCCACCCTAAGGTACTACTAATTTATGTTTGTTTTTTTTCATGGGGCGGGTTTTAATTTCAAGGGTATGCAAAAGGGATAATAAATTATTCTCTATATTTTGGCGGTTCATTCGTAGGGGAAAATATATTAAGGCTAGTGATAGGAAAATTTTTTAAAAAGGGTATAGGAAATTATTAATAATTAAATTATGTGGGACATACTGAACGGCGCCAACGGCAGAGTTGTATGTTATTGGTGGCATTATACATACAGCCGCAGTATTATTGGATTTTGCTTGCCTGTAACTGAAGTATAAGGAATGGTAAAAGTGTAGTGTTTCAAATTGGATGAGGATGAAATAGAAGTATATGGGAAAAAGGAATGTAAGGAAAAGGTTAAGAAATAGATAATTGAGAATTTGCAAGAAGAATGGAATCGGGCAAGAACAGGGATAATTGTGTATGAATATGATCCTAACATACTGAGGAGATTGGAAAATAAAGTATTCATGGGCGATTTTTATTTGAGTCAGGAGACCGGACATGGAGAATGTAAATCCTGTTTGAAAAGATTTGGAAAAATTATGAATGAGGAATGTGTATGTGGGGCAACGATGGACCATAAAAAGTTTTGAGTGTGTGAATTATGATAGAAGTACTTGGCGAGAAGGGAATTATGGGATAGGGGAAATGGGTGGAGGATGAGCTGTATTTTGTAGTGTTTAGGAAAATGGTCCATGCAATACTAAATGATACAAACCGAAGAAGTTGAGACCATCCGTATGTGGAGTGTAGTACAAGTGAAACAGAATAAGAAAAGAAAGATTAGAAAGGATTGTTCGTTCTTAGCTTCATTTCAGAGTATCAGTTTTATTATATTATATTAAGTCCTCCGCCACGACGAGGTGACGAACAGGGAGGAGAAACTGGGGATTTGTGGGGATTGGAGATTGCATGGGGGAGAGGTTGATGGTGCGTGGGTTGGGATGTGAGTGGAGTGTGGGAGTGAATGAATTGAGTGAATTTAGGAGAGTTATTTGGAGTGAGTGCGAGTGTGGGTGTGAGTGTGTACGGAATCTTGGCGTAAATCCCATAGGGGGAATTTTCCATGCCCTACCGTCTTGGCCTTCTTTCACATACTATTCTTGAGCAGTCTTTTTACAGTTTCTTAGGCTTTAATTTTTTGTGTAGCTTTTTTATTATAGACGGAAGCGTCTGAACTTGGGGGGGGGGGGTCAGATAGAACGAACAGGAGGAAATAGATAATAGAAAATAAAATAAATAGTAACAATAAAAAATAATAATAAATTAAATAAATAACAATAAATAAAAAACTCAAAAAAATAAATTAAATAAAAATAATAAAATAAAGTCATACTCGTGCCTCTCCCCACTTCTGTTCTCTTTGTCTCTCTTTGTTCATTTCGTTTTGCTTGTCAAACGGTCGCATTTCAACACCACTTGCCGAGCTCTTCGCCACAATCAATAAATTGTGTCCAGGATGGGCCTCGTAGAGGTGGCCCGGCTCGTAGGGATATTAAATTCAGGTGGAGAAGGTATGGCCTTTCACTTTTTGTTTCCTGTTCTTTTGTTCTGTAATATTCTTGTGCCGAGAAAAAAATACATAAATAATAATTAAAATAATATTTAATATTTATTTTTTTTAAAAAAAACCCCGCTAGGCGGGCCAACCTTTCCCTCCCATTACTCCCTTACAAACTCTTATGGCTTTAAACCCATTTTTTTAGGGGCGTCGGTGGCCGCAACGTCTTGTCCTTCTTTGTTTAACTGTTCCTAAGCCGTTGCCGGCTCTTTACAGTATTTCTTTTCTTACAGCTTTCTTGCTTTTTTATTATAGACGGAAGCTGTTAATAGAACATAGGGGTCAGAAAGAGAGGAAGGAAAAAAAAAATCCAAACTTCCGTCCCACCGCCACGTGTCCGCCCGGGACACTGTTCCTAAGCCGTTATTCGGCTCTCTACAGCGCCCGAGCGGTCGGCGCGGCAGAACAAGGGGGAAAAAAAAAAGAAAAAAAAATCCAAACTCCCGTCCCACCGCCACGTGTCCGCCCGGGACACTGTTCCTAAGCCGTTGTTCCTAAGCCTGTAGGTCTTTCTCTTTTTTTTTTCCTCTGTACCTTGGCCTTTGAAAGGCTTTATCAGAGGTTTGTCTTTGTGCATTTGCTTTGCCTAGAGGTCGTTTTCCAATCTCTCCGGATCTTTGTCACGTAATGGATAACGTGTCCGGAATGGCCCGCTTGGAGGTGTCCGGTTTGTGCAATGAGATTGGAAATCCTTTTATTCTTTTTCTTTTCTCTCTTTCTTTGTTTTTCTCATTTTTTCGGTTATTCCTTTTTTTTTTTATTATTATTATGCCTGTCCCTGATCTTTTGGGTTGCCTTTATATGTTTTCTCTTTTGATGCTTAGGTTTGAATAATGATTTCTCTTCGGTTGAGCTTAATGGGATTCTAGTTGGACGGGTTTCATTTTTTTGTGTTTGGCCAATTTTTTGCGCTCATTATTTTATTTATAAAATTATTGGTTGCTCTGAAATTTTGTTTTGTGCCAACTGCCTGTTGCCATATGTTATTATAGGGGGATGTTGTTTCCATCGCTTGCATCCATCTGGTTCTATGGTCTTGATAGTTAGGGCATACTAACATTACATGGTTAGCGTCTTCTTCTGCGCCACACGTACAAGCTGGGCTGTTTTTTAGATTAAAATTGTGGAGCTTTTTCGCGAAGTCACCGTGACCCGTCAGAAACTGCGCTGTGTAATGATAATGTTTATATATTTTGATGCCAATCTATCGGCCAATTTAGGCCATATTTGGTAGGTATGCCTTCCCTTTGAGCTCCTATCCCATCGGTTCTGCCATGTGTCTATTGCCCATCTGTTTACATCTTCCTCTGAGGTTACTCCTTCTATTGTTGAGATTCTGCCTTGGTTTATATGCCATATAGCCGTTACCATTTTTATTTTTATATCTATAGGTATTTGTCCCGCTATAACTTGTAATGCTACGGTTGAAGTTGTTTTATACGCTTGGGTTGTCATGTATAGGGCGCTTCTCTGGGTTTTTTCCAATTCTGCCCAATGTTTAGATTTTAGGTCTTCTACCCAGGCTGGGCATGCATATAGAATAACTGCCTCGAATAGCGCCTTATACATTGTCAGCTTTGAGTAATAATTTATGCCCCAGGTTGGTCTGCTGATTGCGCGTATTCTTGAAAACTTTGCGAGGGCTCTAGCGTTGATATCCTTAATATGGCTTGTCATGTCCATATGTTTGTTTATTGTAACGCCCAAGTCCCACCGCCACGTGTCCGCCCGGGACACTGTTCCTAAGCCGTTATTCGGCTCTCTACAGCGCCCAAGCGGTCGGCGCTGCAGAACAAGGAAAAAAAAAATAATAATAATATAGTAAATTCGTCCCACCGCCACGGGTCCGCCCGGGACACTGTTCCTAAGCCGTTATTCGGCTCTCTACAGCGCCCAAGCGGTCGGTGCGGCAGAACAAAGAAAAAAAAATTCCCCTCACTCTCCCCAATCTGTTCTTATATGTACTCTATATGTATATATTGCTGTTTTGCGGTCGGATCTCTACCTCACCTGCCGAGCTCTTCGTCACAGCTGGTGATTAACCAGCTGCGTCCGGGATGGGCCTCGCGGAGGCGGCTCGTAGGGATTTTATTTTCAGGTGAGGGAGGTATTCAACATTTCCTTTATTGTTGGTGCTTCCTCTTCTTTGTATGTTCCTTCTTTGCTGGGGAAAAAAAAACCGCACATCACCCCCCCGAGCGCCGCCCCTGAGCCATTGTTGGCTTTTTACAGCGCCCTAGAAAGGGCAAACACACGGTGGGGGAAAAAAAAAACACTTCCTGCTGGGCGAGGTATTTCAACATTTTCTTTATTGTTGGTACTTCCTCTTCTTTCCTCTTCTTTGTATGTTCCTTCTTTGCTGGGGAAAAAAAACCGCACAGGGGAATTCCACGAAAACTTCACAACCGGCCGCGTATTTAATAAAAATAGAAAATCTTTAATAACTTTTGCTTACCTTAACCGATTTTCGTGTACAATACCTTGTTGGAAAGCGCTAAATTAGCTGGTTCCGATGGTACCACACACTCGTAGTTTAGGCTGCAATGAGAGGATCAAATCAGCGCCAATGTCGGAGAGCTCGTTTGACACGTCCGCTCAGTCTGAAGTCTCAGTAGCAACTCGGTGGCCGCAACGGTTTAAGGCCGGGACACACATAACCGCACCGAGCCCGCACCGCGTCCTCTCCGAGCCCAGTCGGCGACACGGACGACTGTTGGTACGGTGGTAGGAGAACACACTTGCCCGCCACCGCTCCGAGCAATTGCCGTCAGTACCATTTTGAGTGCTTCTGTGTTTGAGTTTGAGTTTTCTGTGTTTCTCAATTTTGATCATGTTTTCAAAATTTTGTAAAAGTGATTTGGCAATGATTGCCTTGGCTCTAGAGGAAGAACATGAAGAGGAAACTAAGGGGCGAAGAAAGAGGATTTGGGTGGACAGCGCATGGCAATCAAGAGCCATTGAGGGAGAATTTAATACCCTGTTTCCCCGTCTCATGGATGATGAACTAAAGTTCTACGGATATTTTCGAATGACACAAAATACCTTCCATCTCCTTCTTAACAAGTTGCAAGAAACACTAAAGAAGAACGACACTTTCTGGAGGATAAGTATTCCACCAAGAGAACGTCTCGCTGTGTGCTTAAGGTTAGTACCAACACTTTTTCACTAAATACATATTTTGAAATGAATCACTTTTACCTAAGTTTCTCATTCACATGGCCCTACCTACTGATAAGACTTATGATCTTAAAAAATATATAAAAAAATATTGCATTACTCATGACCAAGTTAGATTCTATTTACATTACGGTTTTTCGCTATTTATTGTATATATTATTAGTATTATTATATATATGTTTAAAATTAAAAATTAAATTCGACCTGACTACCACAGACTTTATTTGTAGATAAGCTACCATTGAAAATGGTAGGAAATTATTCAATACACTTCTACAATTTTTTTGAAAATAAATTAAAAATTTGTTTTGTACATGTTTATATTAGTGTTAGAGAGTTTATGGAAACCTAGCTCCTTTACCAAATTTTCTTCTGTTTTATTTTCCCTATTTTGTATAATTATATCACAGTGTAATAAAAACACTCAAAAAAGACTCAAAAAATCAATATTTTAATTTGTAAACTTTTTTACAATTCTAAAAGCGATGTAGAACAATAATTGTAATGAGGGGATTCACAGGTGGATGATGCATGTGAGGTGTTGCTGCTACCTGTGGCTGTTGAAAATGAGGGGAGGTTCTCCATACCCAAACTAAGCGGGTTTGTTATTATTTGTTGATGGCTTTGGTTCTTCGCTAACTGCTTTAACTCAAACTCTTGCACAGTGGAAAAAATTGTAGTTTTCGCCTGGTTCAACAATACAGGGTCCAAAAATTTTAGGGTAGGAGCCAAGCCGGCAAGAAAAATATCAACAGGGTGCTGTGGAGGATTGGTTGTGCTTATTCTCGTTTTTTCTGCTTCTTTTTCGGCCAATATGTACGCCATAAGTTGGCTCGAAGGAGATTCGTGAGCAGGGTTTTCAAGATTGGACCCTTTTAAGCCTTTTCGTTTGACGTTCACTGGCCTAGTAAAGTGGTGCTTTTTTCCAAGAGTGGCTTGCGTAGACGACGATGAATGAACTGGAGAAGTAGGCTGAACTATAGTCTGAGAACTGGTACCAGGATACTGCGAAACCTCGTTTAACCTCGTAACGACACATTACAATTTTTACAATATTTTGTCTGTGAAACAAAATTATTACAATAAAAAAATGTAACATACCTGGTACTTTCAGTGTCTCGGAAATTATTTTCCACACCCTTTCCTTGTATTCGACATGACGATATTTGGCATCACTCTGATCGTACAGAACAGGAAATTTTCGCACTTCTTCAATGAGTTTTTCGCTTTCCATGTTGCACGAGGCCGCACCGTCACCGTTTCATCGCTCTCAAGGCTGCCGCACTCACAAAGAAGCGAGTCTTTTATTCCAAAACCATGCAGTTTTTCAGCAAAAGCCCCATGGCCCGTAAGCAGTTCGACATAAAGTGGTCTACTATTAAGAAGTCCCACTTCGCACGGTCCGCAATCACTTGGAAAATGTGGTATCTGATTCTCCCTTTCCTAGAGACAACCCATCTCTGCTGCCACAATCGGAGTGCCCATTCTCTTGCTTCAGTCACCGAAATAACTGGGATTCCGGGGGATTATAACTTTAAAGAGGACAGCACGCTGGAGGACCTTCTGCGAAGCCACTGCTGTGTTAGAGATGAATTTCGCTCCTTTCGCCACCTTGATACCAAGGTAAGTAACATCCGTCGGTGCTTTGATGTTAACACCATCAGTGGGTAACAACACTGGTGGAGACCTCATGTTAAGTTTAATAGAATCATGTCTGTTTTTTCAGCCATCAACTCAAGCTTGACTGACCTGCACCAACCCTGAACACTGCCGCTCTACTTTGGCGCTACAGCTCAGCTTTGGCATTATCAGATAAGACAACCATGAAGTCATCCACGTAGGCTATGACACGGATGTTTTTGTGCTCCAAAATCTTCAACTGGTCATTGAACAGGACTCCCCACAGGAACGGGCCGAGTATGGACCCCTGTGGTCTCCCATCTGGACCTCCCTGAAGGTCGCCGTGACTCTCGAGGTGTGCATATCTATCATTTAAGTAACTTTTTAACAGGTTCATAATTAGTGTATCAAAGACGCGTCGCCTCGCTGAGGTAAGTAAAGCCGGGAACACACCCGATGCCACCCGATACTACCCGACGCAAATCCAAACTCCGATTTTCCATACGGTTGTATTACCCCCGTGCACATCGATGCCACGCTAACCTACCCGACGCTCTGCGATTTTCGTCGGGTCGCATCGAGTACAGTCGAAGACAAAAGAACCGGACACTCATATTTTTATTCAAACTACATGTATTATTGTCGTTATACTAATTACAACGTACTTATTTTAATATAAACCAAATTAACTGTGATTAAAAATTAATTAGTTTTTATTTAAAAAATTAATTTTAATGGTTTGGTAGAAAATTAATCAAAACACCAGAATACGATTTTTTGATATAATGAATTTAACTAACAATTTATTGTACTCGCTTCGGCGGTACATATACTAAAATTGGAATAATTTATTACACGGTTTTGTTCATAAAATTTAATTAAAAATTTATTTCATAGTTTTGCTCGTTAAATTACACCATTTTCGTCGGGTAGCATCAGAACAGAACAAATATTTTTTGTAGTTTACAATTTATTAGATGTTTGTGCTTATAAAATTTAACTAACAATTTATTACAAGGTTTTTCTCAAAATAGTGCATTAAGAACAAAAGATGCGTTGCGATTGTGATAGTAATTATTGTGATAAACGCTGTGGACTGTACGCTACGTGTGCATCGGGTAAGTGTGTTCCCGGCTTAAGGAGGGCCAAAATGTGGGTCTTGGGCCTCAATGCGGATGTTGGATGACTGTATAGCCTCCGCAATAAATGCTGAGAACTTTTCCGTCCAAACCCCAAATCCTAGCACCACGTCCCCGGACAACGCCATATTTGGCGGCCAACTGTGCAGGGCAATCGGCTAAGAAGAAGCCTTACACTTCTCGGATTTCGAAACAGACTGTCACATGAGCTGACTTTTTCTCCTGTTTCTTTTCCTTTGTCGGCCTAAGGGTCGCCTAAATAAAGTTGTCCAGGATTATCGTCCGTTGCGCCTTCACGTTGAGGGGTGCCGGCAACATCGAAGTGTTTCCCTGGAGGCACTACGTGGAAGTCGGGGTTGGTCTTGTGCCCCCCTTGAACCGGAATCTGTTCATATGGACATCACTTTTGCAAGAGATTATATTTTCATTGCGGTAGACGAATTCACAAGAATCACCCTTTTGTTCCCAATCAGGAATTGCAACACGAAAACAACAATTGCTTGCCTCAGGGATAAATATTTAATTACTTTGGGTATTGGACAACTGTCACGGGCGACAATCAATCGATTTTCAAAAGGAAAGCTCTTCAGGATTTCCTATTCAAGTACGGTATAAACAAATCGTTCTAAATACCATATTACCCAAACCCTAGCAAAGCCGAAAGAGGTCTCCATAACTTAAAAATCAATTTAATGGCATACTTGTGTCAATATTCATATCCGATGTCACGTACGAGGCCTATTAGGAATTAGATCCGAACCAAAAATCACGAGTCCACATCTCACAAACAAAAAAGTAACAATGAGATAGCACATAGAGACGGAAAATGTAGAAAGAAAAAAATTTAAAAAAATAGTCAGAAAAAATGTAAATAAAAAATTAATACAAATAAATAAGTATATTTTTTGAATAAACGAAGAATTAAAGAAGAACTATAGAAATTGTGGAACAGTAGAATAAAATAAAAATAGCGTTAATTTTTTTTAAACGAGAACATTATAATTTTACAAACGAGCATTTATAATTTTCATATTTAACAGCAATCAAGTTTTTAATTTACGTACATTTTATAATTACAGTTTTGTGCTCCTTTTTTTTTAATCTATATTAAGAAAATATAGGCTAAGCCTTAGGAGACGCGAAAACTTACTGAAAGAGCATTAAAGAAATAGTAAGGTAGGCGTAACAACACCACACCAGATCACTTTAAGAGAAAAAAATAATAAAGAAATTAATTAAATTTAATTTGAAAAATTATAATACTCATTATGGTGCAGAATGTTTTGGGAACAAACCTATGTTATAGTTATCAGTGCTCCAAAGAGCTTAACTTCCATAATAACTTCCAAACAATAACACTTATTCCTTTTCTCATTCTCTTATTTTACAGAATACTGTACTATTGTCAACCGGCGCCTTCGCAACTGCACAACTGATGTCAACCTCCAACGTGTTAAAAGAACTGCAGCATTTCTTTGTTAAATTCCAAAAATTAACTTTTAACCCACTTTTCCCAATTGTAAAGACTTTGTTTACCCCTCGTCACCCCCTACCTTTATCGCCTGCTCTCTTTATCTAACAGTCTGTTCAGTATAAAAGAGTCACCATCTCCGCGCTTAAATCCAGGAAGGAAGGCTGTTTCACTTCAAAGGTCACCGAACGTGCCCAATGTGGGAAACTTAAGACCTCACCGATGGTCGCGTGTGAGGGATGGTATGGTACGCGTTACCTTTGACTCAAGGCTGCAAATTGTGGTTTCCGACTCCCCCCAATTTCTTTCCTTCGAAAAGGGGTGATGTCCAGGAATGACCCAGACATTAATATCACCAGAAAATAGACATTATTAGAAATAAATAATAACAAGAGTAAGAGAGGTGGAGCGATTGAAGAAAGGGACAGAGTTGAGGAGGAGTAAACATCGCTGATTCTGTCCTCTGTTCGTTGTTTCATTTACTTTAAAATATATTTTAAGTTTTGTTCTTGTGAAGTTGTTCTTTTATTTTATTTTACCTTTTTTTAAATCGTCGTGTGATCAACCCTCACAAGCAAGAGCCAGTCGGGAATAATCTAAACCTGAGCTGGGTTAAATGTAGAGTCACGGATCGTCATACACGATGAAGCAGTGTATGAAGTATTTTGGATTTGAGCACAACGCGACATTGTATACGGCAGAGCTTAGGCTCCTAAGATGCGGGGGAAAAGGGTCGTTATTCGTCCATGTGTACAAGGAAGAGTATGGAGTGTGCGAATTGCCTCACTAATTCGCACATCAGCAAAGACAGAAAATGTAATGTTTTTAGGAAGCGGTGAAAAGGTGGGTAAGTAGAATCGACTATGCGTAATTTACGCTTAGGCCAAATCAATTTAGGACGCCGGTTAGGGGACGGATCATGTAAGACGTGTGGCTATAGAAATGAAATTGGATGTTCTGCTTTTGCAAGAACCATAGGAGTACGATAAAGGAATCCTGGATTCTCAATCCAGGATAGTGATTGTAGGACGACTTGCGGACCGCGGTAATCATATGGCGGCCGTGGTCGTGTTGAATCGAGAACTGGACGTGTTCCATTTCTCAGACCTGTCCGACAGATAATGCGTCGTAGTGGGTGTCAGTGGGCTGAGATATCGCCAGTGCATTTTTGTCAGTGCGTATTTCCAGTATAGGCAACCGACTAGAGATCACGTTGAGAGATTGGAACGCGTCCTGACATCCTTGGGTAGTAGGGCTGAGTAAGTCGTTATCGGAGCTGATGTGAATGCGAAATCGTCGAGATGGTTTAGTAGTAGGACTGATCGGAAAGGGAACTCTTAGAAATATATATCGACTCCAGATACCTTCAGGTACTCAACAGAGCAGTATGTTTGGAGACCTTTTCCAAGAAGAGAATGGAAATAGGTAAGGGTACGGATGGTAGGTATTGTAGGTAGGTATAAAAATATAAATGAAAATAAATATAAATGTAGAAAATGTGGGTTTCTGCATGGCAAAGCACAATGTACAGCATACGGAAGGAATTGTAATATTTGTGGGAAGGCTAATCATTTTGCTGCAGGGTGTTTCCGAAATAAAAAGAGTGCAAAATCCATAAGGCAAGTGACTAACGATGAAACATTAACATAACCCTTTGCTTATTATGTCACCATTAATTCTCATAAAATTAAGAAGCCGTTAAATTTATGTAACAAAAACATTAACGAGATTGAAAACAAAATTCTGTTGATAGTGACTATCAGTGGTGTCAAAAAATGGATTTTACAAATAATGATTCCATTCTGTTTAACTCTACAGGATCAGCAGAGCGAGGCAAGAATTATCAACTTACATACAATTATACAATACAATTATCAGCCATCAACTTTAATTTGTAATCTTTCCATAATTAAATTAATATAAGATATTCAAAGGATACTATTTATAGTATAGCAAGCACGTATGTACAGTTTTCTGAAATTTTGCTCATTGCACATGTACCTTTGTATGTTATGTTTTTGTTTGTTTTTAAGCAAAAAAAGAATTCAAGGATTCTTGTAGAATACATTATATCACTTCTCAAGTACAAGGAAATTTTTTTTTTTAAATCAAAATATATAACTCCAGCAAGATAAGTCCCCCTTAATAGATATTTATTTTTGGACAGAAGGTAAGATTCATTAAATAAAAACTAGAAGATTTTCGTTATAAAAATTGATAGCAGAGCTAAACTTCTGTCCACATATAAATAGTCAATATACAAAATACAAATGTCTTTCACCTGTGAAATTTGCCTTTTTGATTTAAACAAAGAGCAGGGCGCTGTGTGCGCAAGTTGTCTAAATACTTTGCATATTCCTTGTGCACAAAAAAGTACACCAAATTACAGAAAGTTAAATAAGGAAGCTAAAGAAAAATGGAAAGGTCCATGTTGTAACCCTAGAGCTCAAACTAGTATGATGCTTCCATCTAATGCAAAATTGTTAGATACTATACAAAAAAAATTCGATGACCAATTAAAATTAGCCTTCACTTCCCAGGAGGAATTTAAGAAAGATATAGAAACAAAGTTAGAAGATAATAATGCAAAATTGCAAGGCGTTATGGAACAATTTGATAGTGTCAAGAATGAGATAAATAATTTAAAACAGAGAGTGAATTCTGCTAACAAAAAAACACTTTACCGCTGAATTCTTCAAAAGAAGTACCTTCAAAGCCAAAAATTACAGAAACGCTACAAACCTTCATTGAGCCTAATCCCGTACGGCTTTCCTCATGATGGCGTTCATTCCTTAAATGAACAAAATTTAGGCACGCCATTTAATCCCAAAGTGATTAAGGGAATAGATTTCACTTCTACCAGCCAACATACTGGTTTCATAGATCCTTCCTTGAAAACTTGGACGATTCGGCAAAATCAGATTGTTCTGCGGAGTCTGATTTTACTCCCTTTCTGAATAATGGTAAAAAAACATTTTTCATATCAGTTGTTCAAAAAAATCAGTGGCTTACCTTCAATTAAATTGTATCAGCCTAATAAAATAGTTAAACTTTTGCTCCATTATCAAACCGATTCAAAGGCAAATTTCAAAAGATTCTTGGTATTCTCGCGGACAGGGAAGACGACAGTTCTACGGCTAACTTTTTATACAATGCCTATGCTCACCCCAAAATTTCGATTGAAACATTTGCCCAATCCTTGTTAGATATGGAATCTCGCCGCGTCAATACATACAGACCAAAGATGTTATTCACCCCACAGGACGACACAACCTCTTTGCGTGATTATATAGAAACGCAAATCACCCTACTTGGATGTTTTAATGAACACAATGAAGTCGCTAATGTTAAATCATTATTAAGCTCAATCCATCCAAAATTTCTTCTATTACTAGGCCCAATTAATGAAACTGAATCTTACAAAGCATTATTTGATCAAATTAAGCAAGACGAAATAAAAATATATATAAAACTTATATATATAAAGTTATATACGAGTATAAACATTGTGTTGAATAAATAATGTGATGACAATGCTAGGATGCAGGTGTTGCTCCTATTGGGTTGTCCGGAAAATAATGCAGGATTTTANCAACCCGATAGAATTGCCATCAGCACTCTCTCCCACTCTAGAAATTTTATAAGGATTTTCATTTTAACAAACGTTAGTCTTAAGTTAGATTTCCCGAAAGCATATCGACGAGATTTGATTTAGATTAAGTTCTGAATGTATATCAGTACTTATTTGTAATTTTTTTGGATAAAAGTTTTTAAAAACACATTCGACAAAAGAAACTATTTAACTGGCGCATCGGACTGGACATTGTCGAAAGTTATTATCGAGTAACTTTCCGTTTCAACGGTTAATCGGCAATCGGACAATCAACAATCGGTGAAGAGTTCAACGCATATGAACGTTCCTCCCGGACAACGGCATCGAACTTCTAGACTCTCGGAACCAGCTAAAATGGTCGTAGGAGCTCTCGTTTTTGTGTAAGAAACATTTAAAATAATCTAATTTAAATTTGTAATATTATTAACATATTATTAAAAAACGAAAATTTTTACGCATTGTTAACAAATATCCAAAATGGCTCTCCCAGAATTTAAAAGAGAATTTCTGGACATGGTCCCGGAATTCAATGGAGACCCAACCGTTGTTAACACATTTGTTTACCACCCTAATAATTTCCAAAATGTATTCCTGCTTTCATGCTTAAGAAATAAGATAAAAGGTCCTGCATCTCTAGTGATTGAAATTAGTAACGTGTCAAACTGGGCAGATTTAAAAACTGCATTGTTAGAGGGATACCCCGACAAAAGGGACGCATTCACTCTCCAGATTTAAATCTCTAGACTAACACAACAAAATGAAAAACCGTATGAGTTCTATCAACGAGTACAGAACCTTTTAAACTTACAAATAGCATATTTTAAAAACCACAATCCCCTTCAAGCCAACACTTTAAATGATTATGCGAGAGGCGTCGCACTCCGTGTCTTCTAAGAGGTCTCTAAAAGAACCCGTAGGCTCACTTATGCGGACTAAGAATCCGAGTAATTTCACAGAAGCATAAAATATCCTTACGAATGATTTTCAGTTTTTGAAAACTTTTCAGGAACCAGACAATTATCCGTCAAGGAAACCTCGATTTTAACCACCTAGTAGACACCCAGCAAGATTCCCCAATCAATATCCTAATTTCCCTCAAAACACAAAATCAAACATACAAAACACCATGTTCGCCCCGCGAATTCAAGCCGAGAACGGACGTGACATCAAACCGACACCCATGTCGATACAAATTAGACAATCGTTCAAAGAACCCAATAATTTTTTCACGCAGCAAAATTCCAAATTACACGGTAGAAGAAATTCATCATTTAAATAACCAGACAACCGCCACAGAAAATTTACAACACCAAAATCAATCGAGCTTAGAACCTATGGATCATTTTTTAGAAAACAAAAGCCTCTACCCGAGTATCACTTGATGACACAATGCAACCAAGCAAGCCTCCCATATATAGAATTTAGAAACCCACCTCTCAAAATTTTAATTGATACAGGTAGTACAACATCCTTTATCAATCCTGAAATAGCACACAAACATTTTAAAAAATCAATAAAATTAGACCGTTTAAAATAACTTTAACTGAAAAATTTAGTACATTTATTCCATTTAACGATCTATTTCAAATTAGCGGATTACATTTAAAATTTAGGATATTTAAATTTCACGAAAAATTCGATCTCTTATTAGGTTTTGACGCTCTTACATATCTGAAGGCTCGTATCGATCTTGAAAATAATCAGCTCGTCACGCCACACACTACGTTGAAAATCTCGTATCAAAAAAACAGTAACGAAACTGCAATATGTAATATAGGTGCGAGTGCAGAACAAATTATAAAAGTTCCCATAAGAAATGAAAATCCGGTGAAGCGATCTTTCCCGATATAAGCTATAATAATTGTGAGATAAAGCATTGCAAAGGCACTGATAATAAAGTCGC